AAAATTCAGGTATACTGCTAGGAATGTAACGATGCATCGTGAATTGGTAAAAAATCGGTACAGATGCGTTAAGATTAAAATCGATTGAGCTAAAAAATGAATCGCGATGCAATTTCTTGAACGGCACAGGGCGTGAACTCATTTTGATTTGATTCGCTGGAACAGCAGTCTGGACATGATTGAACGCTATCTAGAACAACAACTTGCCATGGCAGCTGCTCTCCTCAGTGCAGACGTCCGACGAAATGCCCGTGAAATCGACACACTGGATAACTCGGACAGCCGTGATGCCGTGTAGTGCTGCCGGAGCGCACCGGAACGCTGCTTCAAACATTGCACTACCCATAAGGAGCTGTACACATGCCGCAATGCCGCAGTGTTTGCGTGGCTGTGTCTTTAGTTGAAAGCCCAGTGACGATCTATCATACTGATCATTAGGGGTGTAACGGTTCACAAACATTTCGGTTCGGTACGTACCTCGGTTTTTAGGTCACGGTTCTGTACGTTTTCGGTACAGCAGAAAAAAATGATCACAAAACATAAAATATTTTTTAGGGGTTTTTAATTATTATTAAACTGTGAATAATGTATTCACTCAAATAAATACAAAATATAATAAAATAAACATTAAGGTGCAGCATTTCAATGAACTGAAATAATCTGTATTTGAACTTTACTATACTAGTACTCACAAAACATAAAATATTTGTTTTGGGTTTTTAATTATTATTAAACTGTGAATATTCACTCAAATAAATACAAAATATAATAAAATAAACATTAAGGTGCAGCATTTCGATGAACTGAAATAATCTGTACTTGAACTGTAGTACTAGTACTCAACTATGCAGCCAGCTTGACATTAGGCTTGTCATTGTATTTTCATGTATTTTTTAAGAAAAATTAACTTGTCCACATTGCTTGCCGAAAGGTCAGATCTGCTGGCACTAACAATGTCTCCTGCTGTGAAGAACACCCTCTCGCTAGGGACAGAGGTAGCAGATACAGCCAGGTAGCGCTTTGCTAACATGGTAACATAAGTATATTTGGCGTTTGTAATAGCTTTGGCTCGGTCTGAACTTGTTGCGAGTGGTGGAGGCTTAAATGCTAGTGGGAGTTGGGTTTGCACTTCAGTCATTTTTCTTTTGGTACCGGTGATATTCACGTTCGGGTGATGCCTTTTCAAATGAGTGTGCAAGAAGTTTGATGTATTGCCAGCCGCGTAACCAATTTTAGTTGAACAATGCTGACAAACAGCTTTGGTTCGGTCCTGTCTTTGTCCGTCATCCTTGCACGTAACTGCGAAACCAAAATGTTCCCAAACCGGAGACTTCAATGATGCTGGAGGATTTTCGAGCTCAACTTTATCTGCGTTCGCCATTTCGACAGTTCCTCAAATTACTGACTAAATTTGAACGCATCCCTGTGACCAGCTCTCATAGTATGCCTCTCGTCCAATGAAATTACTTGGTTGCTCTATGACGCGTTGAACCCAATGTGAGCAGATTACACTGAACGCTGCGACGCAGCACCTGAGATTACTTCCAAAAAGTTGTTCACGTTCTCAATTTTTTACATTTAACGTTATATTCGTTCGGTACACTTCGGTACACACGTGTACCGAACCGAAGGGCCCATACCGAATATTTTCGGTACGAATACGTATACCGTTACACCCCTACAGATTATACAATAAAATAAAGCCATCGAAAATAATATGATACACAAGTACAATGGTCTCTGTGTTTCATTCAAGCTCGGCTCTGTGTGCATGTGCGAGCGAGCGAGACTCGCAGGGGCGGTTCTTGGGGGGGCCAACAGGGGCCAGTGCCCCCGTAACACTGACCAGGGACCCCCCTGTGGCCCCCCTTAAAAAAAAAGGTTAGAATATTACGATTTATTCGAACCAAATCAAATCAGAGACCCGGATGTGTATAGGAGATTACACTGTTCATTACCTTATAAAAGCAAATACTGTTTATGTTTTTTAATTAAATTGTCACTTGAGAGTGTTGAGAGCTGTATCCATAGATCTAGTCTCTTATACATACATTTCAAGCTGCACTTTATTTTTATTTTTTGAAGGGATTTTTACAGAAATATTTTTCAGTCATAATTTGTCCGCAGCTCATTCTGTTAAAAAAAAAAAAAAAAACTATATCGTGAACTTAAAATCGTGAATCGTATCGAATCGTGAGTTGAGTGTATCGTTACATCCCTATATACTGCTTCAAATAAGCCAAATCTTTGTAAGTGCTGTTTCAAATGGGCTTAACTCTTTGGGTGCTTTTTTTCGGGGGGGGTGTGTTGAGTTTAATAGTCAAGTACAACAGGTGGGTTTCCAAATTGAAGATGTGTAGACTTTTTGCTGCCCTGATGAATGGGGAGCTTGGTATCAATTTTGTGTTTGGCCAATTGGCTGATGTAGAGTGCACGTGCTGCACTGTAAGGTTTAACCATGTCCTGGATATAGAAAGGGCCTGATCCATTTACAGCAAGGTAGGCCAGGACCAGTGACTTGAAGTGGATTTGGGCAGCGAATGGTAGCCAGTGGGTGAGGGTGAAAAAACAGGGAGGTTAAAGCCAGTCGTGCTGCTGCTGCATTCTGGGAGAGCAGTAGAGGTCGGATGGCACTTGCAGGTAGACCAGCCTGGAGGGAGCTGCAGTAGTGAAGGCGTGACACATGTTGAACCTGAAGTCACAGAGCAACAGGTTGGAGGAAACAAGTGATGAAGAGAACTGGAATGTGAAGAAAATCCAAATGTGGCTGTCTTTTTGTCAACAAATCATTACATTACATTTCAATGCAACAAAACGAGTTAGCACCTCTCTCAGTGCTTCTTCACATACCTTCTCAAAGATTGAAATCTTTATTAACCTGTTTCACGCCTTCCCCCCGGTACCGGGCGGATAAACGCGTCATTTGCAGGAAACAACGTCTAAGGAATCTTAATATTGAATAAAACTATGAATGTGTTATATCCATGTAACGGGAAGAAACTCAGCTAACTGATCTTTTTAATTTTTCTTTTAAAAAAAACCCCACAATGCTAGCACTCAGCCTCTGAATTAGCCTCGATCGAAAAAACGGGACCGACAAAGGCACATAAACTCACTCAGAACTCCCTTATTACTTATCCTAGATGCACAACCAAACACTATTTTTTGGTGTCCTGGAGACACTGAATCTAACGGTGCCCACCTCAACACTCAGTGATAAACATTCGCGACGCTATCAACGAAAGCGTACATCATCACATGTGGAGCCAAGAAGCTAAACATATAAATATGGCTTACCTTGGTCAAAAGTGGTCTTCAATGGCATTAAAACGATAAAAAAACGATGCTGCAGTTAATCCATAGGTTCATCCTATGTGTCTGTGCCTTCTTTGAAATTATTTCTGATAATCCATAAGCAATACAACTGCGTTTTAGTTTCCAAACTCCAGAAGGAGACATTCCTCCTGTTTAGTTTCGCTTTCCACACGCGAAGCGGCAACATTTTTTCTTTACAATGTGTGTCTATGTAGGTATCCTCCTTCGATTCTATTGGCTCTAACGGTCACAAGGGTATGTCAACCAACCAGATCGAGCAAGGGGGGCCAGAGATAGGTCAAATCCACCCAAATGACCCCAGATGGCCCAGTTTTTGGCTAAATCTCTCTAAAAAGGTCAAATTTCACTTGTTTTGCATCAATCTTGATACAGGGTACTTATTATATGTTGTACTTTGGATTCCTAAAGCTTTTAGTCTACTAACCCATCATCCAAGGGTAGTTTTCACTATCTGTAAAAAATAATTTTTGGACGGACACTATAATTTACAGTTTTTTACTATGTAAAATCTGAATTTTCTTTAAAATAAAAAACATTTATATTGATTCTGACACTTCTACATCCAACTCACAGGTTTATCATTACTTTGAGAAAAGATTATTAATTTAACCCTTTTAGAAGGGAAGATATGGTCATTTGTTCTGGGAATGTCATTTTCGAGCCTGAGACCTGAAAAACAGGCTCAGAGTGGAACAGGTTAAAGGGTTACAAATATTTTTGAATCATTTTCAAATTGCATGGAACTGCAGAAGAAGCAATGCTCTCATGGTCAGCGTCTGTCCGATGTACTATTTAGAAAAAGGGTACATGGTGAATGTATTATGGTTATGAAAACAGCCACATTCAGCTACTAGCATGGCTGTTGACTCTTTTATTACTTAATTACATTTTAATAAAATGTAATTAAGTAATTTTTGTCTGTATCTATTTTTTTTTGTTGGTAGGTCTTTGTATTGCATCATCTTATGGCTGTTGAAGAAATAAAACAGATATTGACAATAAATAGTGTATTATTTGTGTCGTATTATCTCAACATAAACACTAGCCATTTTGTTAAAGTATTGAAAAAAACCTGTCATCCTGGTAATATATGTATTTAAAACAATGAAGTGGCTCATTTATGTTTTCGTTTTTGAACAAATGAGGGCTAAAACAAGGGATAATAGGGATAATTGCACTTGTGGTGGTGTTGTTTCACTTTAAATATGCTATGATAACATGGAGGTATGGATCATCTAGATTCTGTGTGTAAATAACACCCTGCATTCTGAATGCTGGATTGCTGGTTGGGAGACATAAATCAAATTGTATTTATACAGCCGAATATCACAAATTTGCCTCGGGGGACTTTACAATATTTACAGCATACGACACCCAAAGAGAACCTCCACCCCCTGAAGACAATTAAAGGTTGAGAAGAGATATATCTCCAAGGACGGATATTTGTGCTTGTGTAGAGAATAAACAACACAAAACAACAATAAAATTACAATATAGAAAAATGATAATGTGAACATATACGAAGAAAGATTGATCCAGGTGGCGCACCAAATAATGACAGTGTCGTTAAGCAGGAGGCATGATGATGTGCTTCGACATTCCACGTTGTCTCTTTATTTGTACTGATTATAAAGTCCTCACTTCTTCTCCGCTCTTCTTTCCAGATCACAGCCTTTGATGAGCTCCAGGCCGACTTCAAGGTGCCGATCGATCAGGGCAATCCACTCCATGCGGTACGTTTTCCCCCCGATGTATTTTCACCAAACACTCTTTTTATTGTCTTGGTTTAATATGTGGATAGCAATTGTAGGCTTATATTGAAATCTACTTGCTAAGACAAACACACATTTCTCTGCCTCACTATTTGTCTTCCCCAGTCTACATCCCCATGCTTTCTCTTTCTCCATTAATTTTGAATCAAGCAGCTGGCAACATGCTGGTTGTGTACGCCTTCCTTTCTTCTGTTCCTGGCTTAAAAGCAGACTCCTGTTATAGGACTTGAGGCTACAGCATGAAGTATGAATGATAATCTTTTGCAAACATATTGTTGAATCCAAATATAGATGAAGTAAAGTGACAAACCAAATATAAACATGGGATCTACAGTTGGTTTCCAAGCCAAACCATCTCCACCCTCGCAGCTCGAGACTCAGGACACAATGTCCCTAAAGCTGTCTATATTTTGGCAATCTGCATAAGCAGGGGTTAAATTGGGCCAGGGCTGTCTGGGTCTCAGCCTCGGCACATAGACAATCTCTCCTACATCATTAGGCTCACGTGTTATAAATAAAATGCCTTTAAAATGTGTACTCTGCTAAAGTGGCCGACCTGTGCAAACGTGCTACAACGGGCCAAACAACTTCCAATAAGGAGAAACGCACTGCACTTTAAAAAAACAATCACAAATGTGCCAAAACACATGGAAATAAAGAAACATCTTCACCAACTTGATGGAACATGCAAAGCATTTAATAAAATTGCTACATAAACTAAACGCTGCAAATAAAGAACACTGCAAGAAGTTCAAAACACAACGGAAACGGGGACAATGCACACAGCTGGGACCGGAGCGCTTATTGAGTGTTCTTTTTATTTGCAGTGTTTTGTTTATGCAGCACTTTTAGTAAAAGCTGCGCATTTTTCATAAGTTGGTGAAGGTTTCCTAAATGCTGCGCATGTGTTGTCAAGTTAGTGAAGATGTTTCCTCATTTGCATGTGCACATTCGTGTTTTTATATTTACATTTTTGTAAGTACAGCGTGACTATCCTAATGGAAATATTTTGGGTTGTTGTTGGTCGGGTATAATGGGCTTGTTCCCTGTTCTCCCCTCACTCGCACCTCGCTGCTGCACGGAGCGGTTGAGGGGGTCTGCTGTGATGTCAGCAAACTATCCGACCCCGTTAGTAACACGGAGCTCCTCTCCTTTACCGTGCTTTCTGAGTATACGCTGGCTTATGATCAGTGTCAACATCAAATGTGTTTACAATAGGGCAGTCAATCAATTAAAAAACATCATCTTGATTAATTGCTCATTTCCATAGTCAACTCACGTTTAAGTTTTAAATGTTCCTTAAAGGGATATCTTTTTAAGATGTTGTACTCTCAACATAGAAGAATACAAATATGATGTTTTTATGCTTTACACAAAAGGACTATTGTCTATTATTATCAGTGGCGTTTTTATATGTACAAAAGTGGTGGGGCACGAACAACTTAGATGTGTATATATAAGCTTCTGGTGCTTTTTTAAACACGTAAACAAATAGCTGTAGATCAGGGGTCACCAACCTTTTTTAGGATGAGAGCTACTTTATCAAAATAAAACAAGTTGTGAGCTACTTTTACTCCTTTTTTTTTTTTTTTGCAGTGTATATAGTTAGCACATTTTAACATTATTATATGCTTACCTTTAACCTTTGTGTGCTGTTTGGGTCTGTGGGACCCGTTTGCAGTGTCTACTAAAAGAAAATGTATGCAATTTAATTATTTTAACCTGCTTTATTTGGGGGTGGACCTCTCCTCCTCTAGGGGGGTCCTCACCTGCAGTGAAATGCATCAATCTGGAGCACTTTGAGCACAACATGAATTGATGGATACAGCTCTCAACACTCAGATGAAAGGGAGCTGTATAATTTTCAATAATCCAAACATCTTTAGAATATGATCACAACCAATAACAAATAATTTAAACTTGTTTATTCTTATCTTATGTTACCTAGTTAGCATTCTTTCTTTTTATTTATGCATATTTGACTAATCACTCCCCTTTTAAACTGTTTTTTGTTTTTTTTTACTGTCCTATACACATTGGAATGATTTCTTACTTTATCTATATTAAATAGATAAAGGTGTGCTCTCTCTCTCTCTCTCTCTCTCTCTCTCTCTCTCTCTCTCTCTCTCTCTCTCTCTCTCTCTCTCTCTCTCTCTCTCTCTCTGTCTCTGTCTCTGTCTCTGTCTCGCTTGCTCACAGAGGCTGTGAGCTCCTCCGTGGCGATGATGGCTTGCATTAAAAAATAATAATAAACATATTTGTAAAGTGGGGGGACACAAACGGGATTTCGAAAAGTGCAGGGGACATGTCCCCCCTGTCCCCAGTGGAAATTACGCCCTGCGTGTGTGTGTGTCAAGTGCAATAAATATATATATGCAAGTTGCAACACACACAGAGTAAAACTCTGCCCCTCATGTGCTGTATAGGCTGGCATGATAGGCTGTGTTCAATGGGGCTGATGTGTAGATTCTGCCAGAAGGAAAATCACGGTCACACTCCTTATGAAGCGGGGAGGTGCCACTCCACATTGCTTTTCTTCCCGACTGCAACGCTGGTCCCGCAAATCAAGCAAGAACGTGATTGGTCCATATTCATTGTGGGGGTGGGGGGAGGAGGGGTGTTAGATAGATATAGAGTTGTAGTAAGTAGACAGAGTTCGCTATGATTGAGGTTTCGTTTATGCATAGGGTAGATTCTTTTAATTACATTTCCTTTTTTGTTTTGTGTATTTTTTACATTTAGGATTTGCTTCGCGAGCTATTTTTTAGAACATGCCCGGCGGGCGACTCACGTTGCCCCTGCGGGCGACTAACTGCCGTGTTGGCTGCTGTAGGCTATCCATGGTTCCAATAGAGAGAGGGGGCGGGGGGGGAGGTCCGGGTATAAGGAAAACACAGAAACTCATCACCGAGGTCACAATATCAATCGATCCAGCTGAGCAATAGCCTGTAGGCAAAACACAGAAGATCAACAAAAGATATGACATAAAATGAACTTACCAAAGCTGAAGTAGATGGTGGACTTCATTCATTTTCTTTCCGTTTTACTGATTTAATTGCTATTCGCTCCTCTCTCTCGTCTCCTCTTCACTACAGGGTGAAAACTACACTTTTCGCGGCACACATACTTACAGCCAATGAGCTCTCTGAATTATGAGATGACGTTTGGTAGGTATGCCAGCACAGTGCCCCTATGGTGATTATTTTTTTTAATAGAAAAATACTCTGAGCATGCGCAGTGTAGTTTTTACAGCACCCATTCACTTAGACAGTGAGAGAGAGGGGCTAGATCGGGGCTTGACCCACGTCGCTCAAAACGGCTCAATAGGCACACTGTAGCTGAGTCCTGCATTGGGTCAGGTACCCGACTGGTGACCCGCAAAAAAAGTGATTCGCGGGTGGTATTTTTTCAAATGCTTTTTTCCGGGTTCGGTTCTGGGTAAAACAAAGATGATGCGGGTCGGGTCGCGGGTGTTGCATAATAAATATATTAAAATAATAATAATTTAATGTTTAAATCCTCAGACCTCTCCCCCGCGGGACCGCGCATAATCATAACCTCTGCAGCGCATCAATCTGCTGCTGAGCGCGCCACATTCGAAATGGCTGAGGTGAAGTGGAGCTCGGAGGATACAGCATTTTCAATAACACTTCCTCAAGAGCGAAATCCAACATCTGGGAGACTTTTGGCAGGGCTGCCAACACTCGCGCATTGAGCGTGAGAGTCACGCAATTAACCCGAATCTCACGCACTCACGCCACACATGCCTTTCCTCACGCTAAGTTTTCGTCCAAAATAAATGTATATAAATATAAAAATAAAGTGAAGGAACAGCAAACCGAGCGGTCTACGAAATGAGACGGTCTTCTGGCTTAGTTCAGTAAAGTTGGAACGATATTGGGAGATTCGGATTTCACGGATCAATAACTCAAGAACAAAACGTTATTCAGACACAAATGACGTCTCCTAAGTACCGTGGTAAGGACAACGAACTACAATCACATTTTGATCAAAAAAAGCCAATACGCGCCGTCCTCCGAGCTGGGCACATTACATTGGTCTCTATCCGCAGCCGGAGAAGAAACGAGTGCTCAGGGACCGTCTGTAAAGTGCAACTCCGAAAAAAAGAGAATACAATAATATTCACTATTATACAGTATATTACTACCAAACTCACTACACACATCAATAGTCTCCTGTGTGTCATACTACAGCAAGGAGTTTGGAAGAATATGCTTTTGAATAATTTTGGGGAATATTTATAATGTAAAATCTTCAATAACTATGGCATTATCTTAAATAACTTTACTATTATACAGTATATTTCTACCAAACTCACTATTTGCATTGTTGTTGTTAGCATCTGGTTAGCTAGCTGCGCTAACAGATATTAGAAGCTGTTTCTAAAACAAGGAGAGGGAGAGCTCTCTGCTGTCAGACTGAGAGCGATAACTACAGCTCAGTGAGGTAAGGGACTCTCTCTGTTTAGATAGTTCACTTTAGTCTAGTTATCTCAGTGGGTCTCAACCGGTTTGGTCACCATTTATGAGAATAAATGAAAAACAGTTATGAAATACTATATGACAGTAAAACAAGAATACAGTTTAAAAGGTGAGTGATTTGTAAAATATCCATAAAGAAAAAGACAATCTGTGTACAGTTCTGTTTCATATGGGTGTTGAAAGATGTATCCATACATTCATTTTGCTCTCAAAGTGCACCAGGTTGATGAATTTAACTTCAATAGTTAAAAAAAATCTTCCCGGGGGAGCATGCCCCCAGACCCGCCTAGAGGAGGTGAGGACCCCCCCCCCCCCCACTTATAAAATAGCACTTGATTGTAAGAGTCGCGGGTACACTGTGTATGTGCGTATTCCACTGTAGCGCCGGTACATTAATGGGAAACCCTAGTGTGTACATGTTCAATACATTTGTAACACTGAACACATGAACGTTTATTT